TAGGAGTTGAAACTTAAACTCACCTAAATAGGAGTAAATCACTTAACTATGACTCTAATTTTTTAACTCCAAAAACAATGGCTGGTGCATCTCCAAAACTAAACAATGACTAAATCCCAAAACTCCTTATCCGTACATGTGCTGAATTTTCAATCCTAGAGTTTGGTGCACTGTTCTAAGCCGCCTCATCCCTGAATTTTCAAATCCTTTGTTTCCAATTAGGACCTCCCATACCCCTTTTCCATGCAATTTTCTCTTTATTTAATTTTTTTTAAGTTATAAATTTTCATACTCTTTTACACACTCATACACTCCAAGGATCTAAGTCATAACCTCTGGCAACTCTAGATATTAGAAAAAATTCAGCAATGTCATCAAAAATGTAATTTAATTTATTTTAACACCTCATTATTTGCTTAGAACACTCTTGTGCCGGCCTCTTTAACTCTTCCATGGGAACATAATGTTGTATCTAGAAGCTCAAGAGCATGACCATGTGGACATTGCCCATGCTTTACCAAGTAGTTCCACCACTTCCACAAACTCTCGCACAAATCAATTGTATGATTATTAAAGAAAAACTTCATCAACACAACCACGTTGCGTGTTATTGGCAAGAACTCTCGTTCGGTCATCTTGATTTGTAGTAAATTGTCATTAAATCATTAACAAAACTGAATCGACAAAAAATAACAAATTTGAATGTAAACAAAACTAATTCAATAACAAAACACCCAAAACTTCATCAACAAAAATTAATCAATACCTTACATAAAGAAACTTAGTAAATTGCTACATTAAAATGTCCATACAGTGTCAAAAAAAAAAACCACTAAATATCACATGTAATCATATAATGGCAATCATGCCAATGCATAAAGTCATGCATGCGAATCCATAAAGAGATTTCCTCAATTTGCACACATAATGAGGATACTGCTGATCGATATACCCCGGAGGCTGCTTCATATAAATTTCATCTGGAATGACACCATGAAGAAAGGCATTGGAGACGTCCAATTGGTGAAGGGGCCAGTTCTGACTTACGGCTAGTGAGAGAACCACTCTAATAGTTTGTTGTTTGACCACAGGGCTAAAAGTCTCAGAGTAGTCCAAACCATATTCTTGCGTATAACCTTTGGCCACAAGACGGGCCTTGTACCTGGAAACAGAACCATTAGCATTATGCTTAATTTTATAAATCCACTTACATCCAATAGGAGACCGGTCTGGAGGTGCCGGAATAAGCTCCCATGTGTGTTGATCAAGCAGGGCTTTATATTCGTCATCCATAGCCTGGCACCAATAACTGTTTTGGGAGGCTTCTTTGTAGGTAACAGGCTCGGTAGTAGGTGGGGAAGAGGTGAAGGATGTGGAGTAGAGCTTAGGTTTGAAAATGCCACTTCGTTCACGAGTGGTCATCGGGTGCCGGATGGGCGGGG